GTCTTACTTATCAAGTGTGTCCTTCTTTCCCTGACTTGGTTCGTAAACATATAAGCGAACATAATATTTATTTTATTTTATTTATTAATTCTTTTTTTATTTTTAATTTGACCAGAGAGAGACAGAGGGTGAGAGTGAGAGAGAGAGAGGAAGTGAGAAAACAACACAACCACCATGCCACCTGCTGGTCCCATCGTGCCATCTTTTAAGAAGTCTCTCCTAGGGGCCAGCAGGTGGCATGGGGGTTAAAGTGCTGGACTCCCACATGGCCGACAGTGATTCGAGTTCCAGACCTGGTGGCTTGTTTTTTCACATTCCTTTCTCTCTCTCCATCTCTCGCTGGTTAAATTAAACTAATAATGAATAAACTAATTTTTTTAAAGACGCCTTTCCCAGATCACATGTGTCCCCTTTCCCTTCCAGGTAGACCTGCATGCTCCCACCCCCGAAGTCCTCAGGTCACGGGTGCGTCCCTCCTATTACCTAAGACACGCTACTGCTCTGTCTCTCCTCCTACAATACACTCGACTCCTGCAGGTCGTTTCCCCCCCACTAGCACCGGCCCGGCCCTGACATGGCATTTAATAAAGGGAACTCTACACAATGCTTTTACAGCTTCACATTCTGTGCAGTTTCCAAAACGAACAAACCAAAACCAAACGCAGCCCAGACATTCCATGTAATTCCTAAAACCACAGCCGATATTTTCCTACTAACGGCCACAGGAGAACACACCCAGCTGGCTTCACGTTATGCTCTCTCCACCACTTTTTCAAATTTACACTAGTTTAGAAGACACTTTGCCTTCACTGTTGGTGTTTTATTACAGAAAATCCCTAGGCTACTCAATTCTCTCACTCCTTTTCTTTTTTTAGAGGTTTTTGCTATAGGGCATGTGTGTTTGCCAGAAAGACAGAGACAGAGAGACAGAAAGTGAGAAATCACCCCCCAGTGGGGATGGCCACGCCACAATCCCTTCTCCTCCATTCTCCTCTTGGGATCCTGGGCACGCACGCACACGTTCCCAGCGTGAGTTTAAGCCACCGGGTCTGGGACTCGAACTGCGGTTGAATACATGGGAGTCCAGCGACATAGCCATTATGCCAACTGCTGGTCCCTAGGCTACTCAATTCTATAAGACCTCCTCTGTGTGCAAAAGTGCTCACACCGTTAGGCCAAATATTTCCCCACTATTTGGTAAAATACAGTAATTTCCTACAGTGTCACCCAGCTTCTGATTCATAATTTATATGTTTAAAAATATCATCAGTAGTTTTTTTTAAGATTTTTAAAGAATTATCTTATTTAACTTTAATTTACTATTATTATTTTTTAGTTTGGTCAGAGAGAGACAGAGAAAAAGAGAGAAGAAAAGTAAGAAATCAAGCCACCAGGTCTGGGACTTGAACCGTGGTCGTCTAGCACCCTCAACCACCATGCCACCTGCCGGCCCCCTCATCAGTAGTTTTAAAATCATGATGTTCCAATGTACAGACACTGGTACCAAAAGCAGTGACATGACTGGCGCCCATATGTCTTTGTGTAGATGTGAGTCCATGATACACACACTTGATACCCTTTGTGAATGAAAAGAAAACGTGATATAATTGTCGGCTTTGCGGTCGTCTGGAAATGTGTATGAGATCACAGCATAAAGCCTGCTTTAGTTTCTCTTATATTAGTAAATCAGGCATGGAGATTCACATTAACTCTCTTTGTCAGGAGGGTAAGCGTGGGAGCACAGTGTAACGTTAAAGCTCCCAGGGACTGAAGGCATTATCATGGTGCTGCTACTTGTGGGATTAAAAAGTGTAATTACAGAGTCCAGCAGCTGGCACAGTGGTTATGGTGCTGGACTCCTACATGGTCAACTGTGGTTTGAGTCCCGGACCCAGCAACTTGAAACAGGCTGGGTGCATGTGTGTGCATGCCCAAGATCCCAAGGAGAATGGAGAAATGCGGTGTGGCCATCCCCCAAGGGGGCGATTACTCACTTTCTCTCTCTCTGTCTCTCTGTGTCTCTGATAAGCACGCACACCCTATAGCAAAAATCTCCTAAAAATATATAAATAAATAAGCAGTGTAATTACAATGTGATAACATTTTAAAGGAAAAACAAAGTTGCATGATCCTGTCTTACTTATCAAGTGTGTCCTTCTTTCCCTGACTTGGTTCGTAAACATATAAGCGAACATAAGTTTTTTTTTTGGAGAGGTTTTTGCTATAGGGCGCCTGCACTCGCCAGACAGACAGAGAGAGACAGAGAGACAGAAAGTGAGAAATCACCCCCCAGGGGGAATGGCCACGCTGCAATCCCTTCTCCTCCATTCTCCTCTCGGGATCTTGGGCTCGCACGCACGGGCGCCCGGCGTGAGTTTAAGCCACCGGGTCCAGGACTTGAACCATGGCCGACTACATGGGAGTCCAGCGACATAGCCATTACACTAACTGCTGGTCCTGCAAACATAAGTTCTTACATAGTCTGAATGAAATGTTATTAATTGCTATTTGTGTTATGCCCTTTACCAGTCCCTGATATCTGTTAGCCAGTTTTGTTTGTAATGACAGTGGATAAATAAATAAATAACTCTGGGGAAGTAGCATATTTTTAGAAAAAAATATCTTTGGAAAAAAGAAAAAGCCTGGGACAGACAGGACTTTAATAGTATATATCAAACATATATGAAATGGTAAAATTACTTTCCAAGAACACTGTATTAATTTGTAAAGCCTTCGATGCTGTACAGACTTACCCAAATCTTGGCAACCCCGGGTCTAATAATTCAGCCACTCATCCTCGATTTGATAAATATCTAAAACAATTGTCTCATTGCTTTAGTATGCGTTTTCTATGAACTTTTTGAAGGCCCCGCTTCTTTTAGAAAAACTTCAAGAAAGAATGACTTACTAAACAAAGTGTGTCCTCTGCCTGTTATACAAATACTGTAACTGCACCCCTGTGGTGCTGCTGGGGGTAGGGGGCACGGTGCCGGCGGCACAGGGGAGGGCCCTGGGCTGGGTCCCACATTTGACCACCCTGGCCCGTCGCGAGGTGGAAGGCTGGGGAAAAGTGAACTGCGATGTGCTGAGAATCTGTCAGGAGTCCCTTTCTCTTTCTCTCATGAAAGAAACATAAAATATGTCTATGTGTGGGCCAGCAGGTGGCATGGCGGTTAAGGCACTGGACTCCCACATGGTCGACAGTCCTAGACCCTCCGGCTTGCTCTCTCACGTTCCCTCTCCCTCTCCTGTCTCGCTCTGGTGAGCACATGTGCCCTACAGCAAATTAAAATCATCATCATAAATAAAATAAAATATATTCATGAAAGAAAAATGTGTGTGTGTGTTCATATATTAAAACATCAGAACACCAAGACTCTCCTTATTACCCCTGGGTTAAACAGAAATTGTAAGACCAAATTAGTGCCTCATCAATAAGAAATTAAATTATTGTAGTAATACATTTTATAAACTAGTATACATCATCCATCTGTGACAAATACTTCAAAGCTAAGAGGAGCCAGCATGAAGAGTGGAGCTCAGGGCTTCAAAAAGGACGAGGTCAGGGTTGGGGACAGTATGCAGGGTAGGATAAGTACTTCAGTTCTGGTGGTCACAGAAAGCTTTCTTGCCATTTTGAGAAAACTGTGGTCTTGGCAATGCTTTGGAAGTCAGCAGTATAGATTCTGCGTGTTCCACTGACACCAACCTGGTCAGTGTCTAGAGCAAATAACTTCTGCCTTTATTCCTCAAAAATGAACGTTATTTTTTCCTTCGTTTTCAACACAACCTTGTTTCAGGACTAAACAGTTAACAACTTGACATTAGATTCTGTTCCAAAAACGGAAAGTTATTTGTGTATAACTCGAAGTATATTTTGAATATAAAAACAAGTTTTATTTGGAAGTTAGGTGTAGAGGCTGCCCACAGGTCTTGCTGAATTGATAAAATATATGACTACTGTACTTATTATGATTGCTCAGTTACATAAAATGATGCTTTCAACAGAGGGAGGCTGTGTTTACTGCTCCAGTTCTAAATGCTGGGATCCACGGACCTTTCCGCACACGTGGCTCTCACGGCAAAAGCCCCAGAGGGTGTTTCACGGGCAGAGACAAACATCTGCCTCTAGGCTTAGGAGCTGGGTAGAAATCTAATGTGTTCGGAGAGGAAAATGTACCAGGTTAGCTAGCGGAAATACGTTTAATAGACAATTCAGGAAAATACGTGCAAGTCGGCAGGGCATGGGAGAAAAGCTGACAAGCCAAGGAGAATCGCTTAGTATCACTCCTGTGATAGTTCACTCCTGTGAGTGAACGCTTAGTTCACTCCTGTGAACACGAGCGTGTGAGCCCAGCATGCAGCTGGAGCTGGACTAAATGCAGCAGAAGGAATACTAAGCGCAGGTCTTGGTTGCCTTGGGAACAGTGCCACTTTCTCATGTTAATGATTCCATGATAAGAGAAGGGCATTATATGAAGTGCGTAATAATGAGGGGGAGAGCAACAGGTGCCCATGGGAGTAATTCAGTGTCGAAGGGGTGGGCAGGGTCTGTGCAGTAGGGCAGTGGATAATTGAGAGTCCATGCAAAGCAGGTGTGGACTGCAGGTAAAGCAACGGCTTGAGCCTGAGCGTTTGGGAGCTTCTCAGGTGTGTTGCCAACCTGCAGACTCTCCCAGTGGGTTGCTCACTGACAGCCCCTTCCCACACTTTCTGATAGTACGGTTCGAATAGACGGCACTGCTAATGTGTGAGACAAGGAGCTGGAAAGCAAAAGAACGCTATAAAATTACCATACGAGGAACACAGTGAGGTGCGTATGCACCTAAGAGAAATAGCTTTAAGATAAACATCATTCCTCTGGGTTCCAACTTAGAGGAGCCAAAGTTGGGTGTGCTGTCGTGGACAGCGGGGGTGGCAGATTCATCACTTCGTCGCGTGGACCAACTGAAACAAGGCAGCAGTGGAAGCTGTGCTCAGTTCCAACATTCCAAACCTACCTCTGAAAGCGCTGATGTCGCCATAGTGCACCTGCAGAACGAAGTACTTACTCCCAGTCTCTCCTCCAACTCGGAATCCCACACCTACACATTCACGAAAGAAGATAAATGAGTATTTTATAAATGGAAGGCTAACACAGAGCTAATCTCAAATGGCTGATCTATGAGACAGAGACATAGAATAGCATATAACGTATGAAATTCTGTTACGTGAAAGCTGAAATCAACCAGGCATTGACCAAAAATTTCCAGTGTAGTTTCTCATTCTTTCTCAGAGCTCAGATGGAATTCAGACAGGCCCCACTGCAGACCCAGAGTGATCCCTCACCCTTTAGGAAGGAGTCATTCATTTTGGAAGAAACAGAAGAACACAAAATTCTGTTCCTGATTACTTAACAGACATACATAAATCCATTCTCTCATTTTGCTTTGTACATATTCATGGTCATTTTTTTCTTTTCTGATTGAATATAGGAAATAGATTTCTTAGGAGCATCTCAGGGGAATTTTTTCCCTTGTGAAAACAGGTATCTAAGTAAAGGTCATAGAGGTAACCAATTGCCAATTAGATTACGGCGAATTTTAGGAAACCTGAATCATCCTAATAGTCTTACTGTTCACAGTTTTCTAGTAAGCTAAAAAAAAAAAATCTACAAAAAGTGTCTCCAGGCAGAAAATAATTTTTTTCTTACATGCTCCACTAATGGTTCTTAAAAATGTCAACAAATTTGTAACAGATCTCCCTTTATTAGGTTGTCAGGCAAGTGGGAAAGGCATGATATATTTTTCTGGTTTTCTATGCAAAAAATGCATCATGACTTTCCTCACAACCCAACAGTTTTCAAGCTTGTTTGCAACAGCTGCCTAGTAAGCTATAGAGAAAATTCTGAGGCTCGTTACAGTGAGGCAAACAGGTTGCAATCAGTGATGTGGCATGAGTTAGGCAGGCGAGAAAGGGTCTGTGCACCCCAAGAACACCTCGAATCATGGCTGACCCATTCTATAACAACTGCACACTCCTTTAATAGCAGAAACACCCAGGTGATAAAAGAGAGTTTGGCAATTCAGTCACACATTGAAAGCTATGAGCAGTTTAGAGGTGAAGTCAGAAAAGCCAGCTGAGGTTTGGCATCACATTAAATACTTAGGTTTCAGAACTATTAAAAACAAAAGAAAAAAATCTCTGCTGAGACAGCAATTTATTTCATTCCTAGCTTTCTTGCCTCATGAAATGCTCCTGCTGTTAAGAAGGAGTGTGCCTTAGGCCAAAGGTGGCTTGAGGGACACTTGTTTTCTAATTCTATCGACCTGCTGGGCGGGCAGATTGCCTACCTAGCTAAGAGAGGCAGAGAACGAGGAACTAACCACCTCGATGGAACCTTTTCAATACTTACTTATGTGAAGCTGCAGCAGAGAATACTGTCAATGACTGCTAGAAAGGACTATCAGAAAAAAGACTTTGGAAACAGAAATTAAACACGTAACATCAGACGACATGAGAGATCGCTGACGTTACCTTTGGGGAGCCGGGTAGGGGGAGCATTTCTTGCCCAGGCATACAGAATATTGGCTTTATCTGCACAAGTTCCTTCATCACAAAACCTGAAGGAAAAAAATAAAAGGAGCTATAAATAAAAATTCAAGTCATAAAATGCACACGCTGCTCCCCATGGGATGGGAGAAGATACTTGAGAGCAAACGTATCAGTATATTGGTTACCACAGTCATGTGAGCTTTAAGGTCTTGAAGAGTGGGGCAAAGAATAATCACCACGTGGAAACAGCACCTATGAAGGGAGGGCTTTTATTCATTGCCTAATGTGAAACCATCTTGTGAGCAGATATAGGATTTATACTTCGATACGCAAGGATGTGGAACGTCCTCTATGTCATCAGGCAGAAACACAAACATCACATTAGGAAGCCCTGTCCACCACAGCTGACGCGGTGCGGCGTGGAAGGGGACATGAGAAAGGGGGTACGGGTGCTCGGGACAGCGGTTAAATGCTGTGCGTAGAAGCCTGGATCCCCAGTGGCCGACTGCAGTTCCGATCTCAGCCCTTCGTGGCTGGAAAAGCACCTGTGTGCATGTGTGCCCATGTCCTGATAGGAGGGAGGAGGAAGGATTGCAGCGTGACACACTCCATGGGGGGTGGGGGGAGTTCTCTCTGGTAAATGGAGGCATCCTCTGGCAATTAAAAAAAAATGTCATGTATATTTTCCATTTGGGGATAGTTGGTGCTCTCAACAAATACCGGCCACAGCAACAAACAGTGCCTACCCTGCATAGGATGCAGAACACAGGTGTGCCCCACATAAGGGGTTCTTGATTTTATATATATACATGAATGGCTTTATTTTTAAGTCAGTGAACACTGTGCCATTTATAAGTTATCTCATGTGAGAGTCGAGCTTACCAAGCCTTAGCTTTCTCTCTTGTAAAACAGGGATAATTACACTTACCTCACAGAGATATTCTGTAAATCAAATGAGATATTAGTGAAAGCACTTTATGAAAACCTTGAAGCACTATACCAGCGTAATGCATTATTAACACATCATTCACTTCATCTGGATGGTCATCGTTGACAAATGGTATCTTATGGTGGAACAAGCAGCAGACAGAAGATACATCTGGAGTTCCATTCCAGAAGCCCCCGGAACAGCTGGGTGTTTGGGGTGTATGTGTAAAGGCCTCAAAGGCCTGCTTCCTATATGGAATCCTCTGATAGGGCTCTGGTACCCAGTATGGTGACTAGGACATCCAGAAGATTGGATTTCATGAACGGCAGCTGCCTGACTCCAAATCACACATTTTTTACCATATTATATAATATTATATATCATTTGGTTTGTTCTAGAATAGATAGAAGTAGATTTGTTCTAACATTGTTAGGTTACATTTTTCTGTTGTATTAATGGATTTATGTTTGGGGCTTAAGCAGTCTGAAGGGCTTTGAAGACCATCAAGGGGAACCAGCAGTTAGCGTAATGGCTATGTCGCTGGACTCCTATGTAGTCGACTGCGGTTCACGTCCCGGACGCGGTGGCTTGAAACTCACGCCGGGCACGTGTGCGTGCATGCCCAAGGTCCTGAGAGGAGAACAGAGGAGAGGGGATTGCGGCGTGACCATCCCCACTAGGGGGTGATTTTTCGCTTTCTGTCTCTATGTCTCTGTCTGGCGAGCACACGCGCCATATAACAAAAATCTCTCAAAAAAAAAAAAAAAAAAAGAAAAAAAAAAAAAGGTTTGGGGGAAAAGGGGGTGTTGTATTAATGGATTTATGTTTGGGGCTTAAGCAGTCTGAAGGGCTTTGAAGACCATCAAGGGGAACCAGCAGTTAGCGTAATGGCTATGTCGCTGGACTCCTATGTAGTCGACTGCGGTTCACGTCCCGGACGCGGTGGCTTGAAACTCACGCCGGGCACGTGTGCGTGCATGCCCAAGGTCCTGAGAGGAGAACAGAGGAGAGGGGATTGCGGCGTGACCATCCCCACTAGGGGGTGATTTTTCGCTTTCTGTCTCTATGTCTCTGTCTGGCGAGCACCCGCGCTATAAAAAAAAAGTCTCAAAAAAAAAAAAAAAAAAGACCATCAAGGACAAGGGCAACATATCCTCTGTGGCCAAGGGCAATCTGGCTCACACAGGATAAAACGCGCACTGCCCATGGCATGAGGGGAAGCAAAGGCAGGCTGGAAAACGCCCAGGGCACAGGAACGAAAACCGCTGGTAAGAAGTTCCTTCCTTCTCAGAGGCAGGGATTCCTGCCATGTGTCCTGCGTATGGTCCAAAACCAGGCTGGGAGAGCCGACAGCGAGTGTTGACAACTGCTATCTGTCTGAATCAAGGGGTGAGGTTCTCAGGATCAGGAGGCCCCCAAAAGGTTATACGTAGCGCGTGCTCGGTGTCCATAAATCAGGCGGCAGCAGGCAACGGGGCAGTGTGTAATGTGCAATGTAAAACACATCACCCGGCGGGCTCCTCCTGCTCACTGTCAAGCACAATCTACTCCTGATGAAGGATCATTACCATGTGGGAACTGCACGTTAGAACAGACGTCTGTGGCATCCCCGTGCCAAGTGCGCTAAAGGCTTAGGGTGTTGATCAGTGCCCAAAAGCGAAATTTCCCTTCCTGGCCTCCTGCTATAACAGGTAAAGAAACGAGACTGTCAGATGTGATGAACTTTGTATCTCACTGCTGTGAGCTACTAAAATGTAAAGATCCGGGCGGCAACGTCGATAGCTTTCAACGAAGATTAGACATGTACAAGTGCCTAACATCAATGTGACGACAGTCTGGGGTTAAATAATTGTTCTCTCAGATGGAAGTTTTCAATGGGTGACTAGAAAGAAGCAGATTGCAATAAAACAGAGAAAAATGGCTTAGTACATTTTTGAAGCCACACAGTTTGATTATGTCACTTGCTGGCTCAACATCTTTCAAATGCCTCCCCAAAATAACATCAAAATAAGATCTGAACATTCTAGCATCACACACAAGCCTTTCATGATCTGGGGACTTGTTCTGTCTCCAGACAAAATCCCTTTGGCAATTGTGCCAAACCTCTTAAAAAAAAAATGCTAGTCTTGGGGCCAGCAGGTAGTATGGTGATTAAGGGCTCTGGACTCCCACATGGCTGACCATCCACAGTTCGAGTCTCAGACCTGGTGGCTTGCTTTCTCACTTCCTCTCTCTTTCTCTCACACTCTGTCCCTCTTTGGTCAAATTAAAATAAATAAATGAATAAATAAATAAAGTTAAATAAAAAATAATTATTTTTTTAAAATACTAGTCTAGATTGGTGCAAAAAAATGAAAATCCATAGTTTTTGGTTTTTTTTTTTTTTGAGAGGTTTTTGCTATAGAACACATGCGCTCGCCAGAAAGACAGAGAGACAGAGATATAGGAAGCAAGAAATCACCCCCCAGGGGTCATGCCGCAATCCCTTCTCCTCCATTCTCCTCTCGGGATCTTGGGCACACACGCACACACACCCGGTGTGAGTTTAAGCCACCGGGTCCAGGACTCAAACCGCGGTCGACTACATGGGAGTCCAGCGACATAGTCATTACACTAACTGCTGGTCCCTAGCAATTTTATGGGGCTCCATGCACTCAACTCCTGCTTCAAGATTCAGTTCAAGTTTCCCTCCTCAGGGATGTGTTCTCTGATCCCCACCACACCCGGCTTCAGTTCTTTAACCCCAGCACTCATCCTGAGTGTCAGCTTACCTGACTGACCAACCTCTCCAATGAGACAGTGAGTCCTTTAATTTTGGGGGTGGGGGGGAGGGTCACGTATTTCACCCTGTACTTCCAGCACCTGCAACCCTGCCTGGCATTTAGGAAACATTTTACAAATGTTCAGCGAAGCTCACCTTTAGGTGAGTCTTTAACTTTCCATGTACAGACATTTATAAAAAATGGAATGCACTTAAACTATAGTGCACTGTCAAGTACAATACTTTTTTAAAAAATTTAGGTTAAAAATGTCACTAAAATAAAAATATTGATAAATGTGAATGACTATTTATCTGGTATTTTGTAAAAACCAGCTAATAGTCACTCCCACAAGCACACTGCCAGTAGGTTGTACTGTAAAGCTGAGTAAGCACAGAGAGGTCAAGGAACTTTCAAAGGTCACACGGTTACACCATACCCGAGGCTCTGGCTATCGCACGCTCTTTATTTCAGTTCATGACCCTGATTTACCGACAATAAATGATGTCATAGGAAGATCAGCTTTGGCTACTACTATCAGAACTGAACGAAGCTGAAATCCGTGTGTGAAATTCTAAAATCAAATTCTGGATGAAATGAAGTTGTTCTGACTTATTCACTAAAGATAAAGATTTTATTCTTTTATAGGGTCTCTGAAAATGAGAGCTTCAAAACTTTGCTTTATATATATATATAAATAAAATTT